GAAGTCTAGGGGGTGGGGGGTGAGGGCAGCCACTTGATGCCCCCCTTACTGGATTAGCGCCTAAAATTGTGATATTTTGGAGCAATACTAGTGGGATAGTGCCAAGCAAACAGTTCCTGACAATGTTGCTTTTCAGATGAACAAAATTTTAGTGTGACCTTAAAATTTGAACGCGCTTAGCGGCTGCTCCCGCGCATTGTACATCTTTCTACTATCGATCGATCAGCACAGATAGCGAGTTTCAGTACATTCCTTTCTGCTTCCCGTAGTATTTGTGTGTATGTGACGTCATCTTGTTCCATCTCTATCTAAAAAATGTTAGAGAATCTACTTTGTTCTTACAAGTTGTATCTTATTTTTCACGACTCAAAATGATAAATAGTCTTTACCAATACTTAGACTTATTACTTACGTTACTATGAAGAACAGAAAAAACGTGACAGGCCTGGCTCATCTTGCCAAGCAAAAGACATAAATTAGAAGCATTTGCTATGTGCTACGCCAAATTAGAAAATTGCAATCGCCTGGCCGATTATTGGGCGTTCATGACTTAAAGGGAGACATTCAAAACAGGGCATTCAAAAACCGCTGGTAGATGACACTAGGACTAACCAGGAAGGTCTTTCAGGGCGTGACGAAGCTTTTTGAAAACGGTCTTTTGCATGATATAGGGGCAGATGCGGGAACCACAGAACCATGTTTAATTTTTCCTGAACGGCCCTCTGAATACCAGAAAAGGGGGTCCCTAGTTCGATTCCTCGTGGTGACAAATTTTTGCATTTCGAGTTGACGTTCCAAAATGATTGTTCTGGTTGGTTCTAACTCCATTTTGCGCGAATTTTGGCAACGTCAACTCGAAATGCAAAAATTTGTCACCACGAGGAATCGAACTAGGGACCCCCTTTTCTGGTATTCAGAGGGCCGTTCAGGAAAAATTGAACCATGGTTCTGTGGTTCCCGCATCTGCCCCTATATCATGCAAAAGACCGTTTTCAAAAAGCTTGTCACGCCCTGAAAGACCTTCCTGGTAAGCCCATTATTGGGAATAAACACCAGGGAGAACAATGGTTGCTCACATCCTCTCCCAGAATCCTTTCCCCTCCCTAAGGCTTAGTCCCGAGTTCTATGAGTGGCCCACTCACTTAATGTCCTCCATAAAGGACATGAGCTCCGATTATTGGTATTCATAACGCTTCACATTCGATTTACCCACGTACCTTGTGCGTCTCTTTATTCCAGTGTTGGCGCGGACACTATTGGCCCACAATGTTTTTTTCGCGTTATCTAGAAAGAAAAGCGTACAGCATAACAATGCTTAGAAATTCGAAGAAATGGCGTAGAATCAAAGCTCACAGCACTTTGCAATTCTAAGGGACATCTTGTCAAAACTGGTGTCTCCGTAATCCACATGAATTACTGCACCGAGTTCCCTCTTTACTAAATGAGCGTCAACTGAAGTAAGGGGGTCCGATGTAGGGGTCCGATCGGTGGCGTCGACCCTCTACTTGCAGCCAGAGTACCTCGCACTACGCCTTTTCACGATCCTAAGTGAGTTGGGAGGGAGGGGGATCACGCGCCGGCGCGTCCCCAAGCGCGATGACACTAAGCCCGAGCCTAGCAAGAAGTGGTCAGGTTGGTTTGTGATTTCGCAGAATCTGATTTTTAGCCCTTTTAAGCCTACTTCCTTTCAATCTTAGCCATCGCGCTAGGCAGACGCCGCACCACTGCGTAGTCTCCCTCCCCTCAACTCCTTTAGCGCCCTTTTGACTTAAAGTTGCGCGCTCACCTCTACCTTGTGAGTTGGACACATTCATAACTCCTGGATTTTTCACTATGCAGTGATCGCTGTCTCTGTTTCGGTGAGAGGGCGCAGACAGGGAAGAAGGTCGGTGCACCGTCGACTCCTCAGCAACTCCCATGGCACCAATAGTGACTCAACACCATTTTTCTTGAGATTTGAGTTTACGATTTTCACTGCTAACCCATTCTCCAGTCCGAACGCAGTAGCTGTTCTGGTTAGTATCAAGACCGAATCGACATGTTTCATAAAGACAAGTCATAAAAACTGCATTACTGCAATACAGTACATTTTGCTGTAAATGTGCTAGACACGTCACCACCCAATCAATCAACGCACCCATACTGCTTTCACATCTTATTTTGTGAGAATACCACCAAATTCAGTTCACGTGTACCATCCATCTCTGCTCTAGAAAACCCAAATACCACCGGACAAATACTCTAGTTTTCTTTGTAACTCATTTCTTCTCTCGTTACTCCTCAGTCGATTATGCTTCTTGGAAGGTACGAATCGATTTCGTTGAAAGAACATCACCTGTCAAGGTACTGCTTTTGTGAGAGCGGAATTCCTTAAATGTGAGCGCAGAGGTGAAAACTCCATGTGGTTTATGTGTCTTCATCATTTCCGCTGAGAGGTCTCGAGTAGAATGCATGTCGCTGTATTTCTTAAGAAAAATGGGTGGTGTAATTTGAGAGATGTTGTTACTTTACTAGAATTGTTTTTTTATCACTGAACGTCAATGTCTTCACTGGCTTTGAGGCTGTAGGCTCTTGAAGGACTTTACTTCCTTTTAGAGAAATTTTTATAGTAATGAGCCTGGACACCAGTGGTCTGCGACAAAGGCGAACAGGTGTTTCAAAGATTGTCGAAGATCTGGACATTTTCGAAAAAGTGGTTGATAATGTGAAGGAAGAAAAGAAGGTGTCGTCGGGTTTGAGTAAGTTTTATCCTGTGCCTTTGCCTTGATTTATTGTGATCTTTTCACCAATTTTGCATTCCTTTTGTGTACTGTCATCTGTTGTTTTGAAACATTTCTTCTGCTGCCCTTTTCGTTCATCTATATTTCAAATTTTTTCTTTAGTTTCTCTCATTTGTTTCTCTGTGATATTTTGTCTTGTTGCTGGTGAACTGCTGCATTATATCTCTGGAAAAAAAGAGTTTGAGTATCGTTTTGACGTGGACACTTCGATGGATGAGTGAGTTTATTTTTGCTGTTCATAATTCCTTTGTAGCTTTTTTCGGTGTTTTTTATGTTTATTGATACCAACTTAAAGCCCCTAGATGAAGATAATTGGCGTAGAATGAGATTGCACCTTGGACTGAGAAAATTAAAACAATGGCGTTCTCATTTGTTCTTTGGTCGTGGATTGATGGCATCAGTTCTTGTTAGAAATCGAGAGCACTTGTGCAGACAGACCAATTCGAACTTTACTTCTGCATCATGTAGATGGCGTAGATAGAGCATAACCGTAAGAGGTAATAAAGTAACCTCAGGGTTGTAAATCAAAGACGAGGGTCGCGATTAGTCCTCAACGCAGTCCTTTCTGTGAGTGAGGAAGCAGGATCTCTCAGGGGTCATGGAACTGCCACTACTTCAGCGCTATAGGGTGCTATGGCCCTTCCTTGACCACTATCACTCCTCTTACCTGGTGGTATCTATGTTCTCTCGTACAACGAGCTCCTTCGCGTATTCACTCTCCCCGCCGAGCTGTCTCTCCATGCTGCATCGGTCGATCTCAAAGAAGAAGACGTCTTCGATTCCTGTGTTTTCTATGGTTCCTTGTTTGTTACTGATCGTCACCATTGAACCCTTCTTCCATCCATAAGCGGTATGACATAACGCACCAATACGATTGCGACCTGTGCCTTTAACCCTAAAACTGCCAGCAGATGTGCCAGTGTCACACTCTATCCATTTCAGAGAAAGCTAGGTTAACCACAAAAATTACGCCGAGAACCGGTCAGCGAAATGTTTGATGGTGTAACACAGCACGAATGCATGACAGGCACTGTCGTGGACGATTGCACTAATTCGATTATTTTCAGTATGCCCACTCTTGATGTCGATATGGTAGTGGCCACGCCATGTAATAATCTTGCTGTATTCAGTACTATGGACGAAAGCGGGGGATTGTTTGCTCCACTTAAACAAACTATTAAAAAGGATCCTACTAGGTATGCTGAGTCATCGCCATTAACCGCTCCATTTTTTATCTTGCCAAAGGTTTCTACTAATTTATCATTATAGCTAATCATAATCTTAAAAATGTAGTCAAAGTCAACTGCACTATTCTACACTGAGTCCTTCCACAAAATGCCATTTTATTCATTTGTCTACATATTCCAGTATAGGGGGGGGGATTATGTGGCGCAACAGTTCAAATCTCCTAGAGTTTCCAAATTCTGTGTAAGGGAGGAAGCTGTGTTGGTGTGGGAGCGGAAGCGAAGTGGTCCACGAACCCTGAGGATTTCCTGCCTTGCAAAAATTGAATTTCTGTACTCGTCAGTAGCTGTCATATCACAAATCTCTCTTACTGGAACAGATCCCTACTCATGCCTTCCTTTGTCTGAAATCACCTTGCAGATCAAATTGTAAGAGCTCATGACGTTCTCGTTTCCTGCTGATTTCGAGGCTTCATTGATATGTGTTATAAGTTGTCTTTATCTTCCTTAGATGCAACTCTGTGAAACACTACAGTTTTTGTTGCTCTCAGTTAGTAGAATTCGTGCAATGCTGCCGAAATGAATCACACCTCTCAGAGCTGAAACACAGAGGAATGCTTTAGCGAGTGTTTAACCAGTAGTACTTTGCTCCTTCGCGTCTGCTGGTGTATTTATTCTAAGCGCCATGTCATTTGTTCCTCGTTTTTCCGGCTTCAAGCCACTTTTCGTTGAATTGATTATGCTAGGGTGTCCTAAAACAATTAAATATTCTCTGGTCAGTATTCCTAGACTTCCACATAATGTGCATAGAAAGTTCCTGTTGACTTGTTCTTCAAATGTGCTCAATACATTGCGATTGAGGTTTGAGCTTACCGCAGAGGAGCAACTCTATTGGACTGTGCTTCGACATGCGCACTCTACTATGAATGAAGGCGGTTTCAGAGGTCTCGAGGAGGTATGGCGTTCTCAGAGAGCTTGGCTTTCTTGTTCTGGTTCTACGAATATCGAGTGTTGCTGTTTGGTATGTGTTGCTTTGCCGCGAAACGAAGTGATAACGGACACTTTGCGCCTTATCACTTGCAAATTTTTCGTTCTCGCGCAAGCTGTCGCTTATCAGTACTGGAGAACTTTTTCACTGCAGCTCTTATCACCGTTGTGACACCCGTGTTCGCTATATACGTGCTTGTTGAAACACTTATTTTTTCACCGCAGTGTAGTGCCGTTGCCTAATTCAAAGTAGCTACTTTTATAGTTGCAATATGTTGATTCAAATGTGCAAGAAAATTTGGAGTATCTAGCAAATCAGAAACAAAAAGATGAAGCCGAAGCCATCATTGAGCAACGAAAGAACCGGAAAGACACTAAAAATCCCTTAGAACTCGGACAAATTGTAGGTTCTGTCAATTTTATTTTATTAAAGACTGCTTACTTTTACTTGTCCTTCCGTTTCACTGACTGACTTCACCATTTAAGGTTGTGATGATAGGAAACGGCATGGGAATGTTCCAGATCATCTCTTCAAATAATGAGGACGAAGGTGCGTAGGCTTGTATTGTGCTGACCGCTGTTAGTAATTTTGAAGCATCGTTTTGTAAATTTTTTTATCCTCGCCACAAAACGAGATGCAACAGTTTGGGAAAAGTTTGAACTTTGTAGCCAATCCTGTTTTCGAATCTAAGTGTGCTTCGAACAAATATGAGCACGTTTGAGCGATTCGTTTTTGGCGAATTTCCTCCCCTTAGTCATGGTGGGGTCCTAAATGAAGGGTAGTGGGAGTTCGTAAGGTTGATGGCGGTGGTAGGGGGTCGTAAATCGTAAAATTTTTGGAGAAGTGCGAATGCCACGGTTGACTTGAGTTCGAGTGAGTCTGACTCATATCTTGAACGTATTCTCTGCACTAAGGTACAGAATTAGAGGGTATCGCAAGGCAAATGCGCGCATTAGTCGCCACATTAGTAGTACAAGCTTGTGTTTTCGTAGAGGGCTGTTACTCAATTTCGCGATTGTTTGGGGCGTGGCAACAAATTTCAGCCTAAAGCATCCACCTGGAGTTCAGCAAAGTCCGATTAGTTCAGTGTTCAAGATGAAGGAAAAAATGTGATTTCTCCCCCATTCATCTTCCCCCCACACACTCCCAGCCCATCTGTAGAATGTGTAGTTCTCTATAACCGCAGAAGTAAATCATCACTTAGTATAGGTATACAGATCTATCTGAACATTCAACGGTGATATTTAGAGTCTTAATATTTTAAGGAACGGCGTGTAGAGTTCATGGCAGGTTTCCAGTGAGAAAAGGGAAAGAGGAAACAATTACAATCTCCATTGGTTCTTCTCTAGGCATAGGAATTTTTGCCCATATTGAAGGAAGTAAATCATGTGAGTTCATATATTACTTGCTCTTCTGCACCATATGTTCTTAGTAAATGGGAAACGAATTGTGTTCAGCCGGAAATATTTCACATCGGATTGAGAAATTCAATTTCGGTCCCAGAGTGAGAGGTCTCGTCGCTCCTCTTGCCGGAGCTGAACAAATCTCAATGAGTGGTGAGCTCTTTATTCCGTACTTATTTTTCATCTAGGATTATTCCGCTTCTTAGTGCCTTGGTGGCGCATCTGTGAAACTGAGTTTTTACTATGCGCTGCGAAATTTGCGCTTAAGAGGAATATTTTGCGCTAATTTTTAGACGAACATGTGATATGTTGCAAGCTTTATCACCAGGAAGGATCATCGGGTCGATCCGGCCGGTGTAATGAAGGAGCTTACACCCATAACTCGCCTTGAGACGATGCTCTAGGATCAGCTTTACATCTCTGCTAAACAATTCTCTGGACGGAGGTACGGGGGCTTTCACCACTGTTTTCTAATGCTGTCGTACAGAGGTGCCTCATAAACCAGGCGAGAAGAAATTGCTTCGTCCTGCGATGGTGTAAATAGTAGCGCTGCGAACTCTAAGAGGAGAGGATGTGGTTTTGATTATTTGTGGTGTCCGTTGTTTTGCGTTCTCGAGGGAATGGCTAAAAAGGCCTTGAACAACGTCATTTCGTCTGCACCTGCCTCTTGTTGCCTACGTGAAGAGCTCGCGAGTACCTGATTGTAGATTGGGGCACTATTTGGCCATGAATGCATATGACGCTCATTGCTCACGCGCTACCCATGACAAGTGTGGTATTCGTGTTTAAGAGGTCACAAATCATTGGAACCAGACTTGTAGCGAAATCTGAGAGTTTGACCTAATTTAGAGGAAGAGGAAATCATCAGAGTGAGGTAAGCGCACGAAGGTATCAGTTGAAAACGAGCTGGCGAAAGTATCGCCTTCGAATTTGGGTGCAGAGCCACGTAAATTATTTCACATTGCGGAAAGAGGAAGGTAATACCTCTTTCTAGCTTAAATCTAAAATAATTGTTCTGCAGCAAGGGTTCAAAGTTGGTGTCATGTTGGTTGATGAGTAACTCACCCGCTTTTTCGAAGTGGGGCCAAAACTTCTGATTTGGCTCGAAACTGGTTTCCAGGTGTAGTTTGATTGTCTAAACATGAATATCACATCTGCTTGCCGTGAGGTGGCCTGACACGTGCATTAGGGGCACTACGGACGATCATAAACAAATAGTGCCCATATCTGCAGGGAACTGCTCGCAAACTCGTCATATAGGTCGTATATGACAAGTGTTACTTAATTGGGAGGTTAGAACTTTTCTAGTCTCATCTTCGAAAAGAGCAAGATATAGACGCCGCGACGGGGAAACGCTCTCACGACCTCTTGTCTGATAGACCGAGGCCTACTGATGCGCTTCTTTGCTTTATAAGTCCGTTCAGTGTATCGTTAAACGAAAATGGAAAGCTGTTCTGAGCTCAGCGTTTTGAGAAGAGTGCAACGATATACACCTTATAGCAGGTCGAACCGACCTGATGACCTTCTCTGGTTAGTTGATAGCCTACTTTCCTTCTCGGTAATGAATTCAAATCACCCTTCTTTGTTGTTTTTTGGATACAGAATGAGAGCAGAATGATTTCAGGTCAGGACGTTTACCGGTATTTTATCAAAGTAGTCCCGACGAAAATTTATCAGGGGATCTTTGGTAGATATACTATGGCTTATCAGTATTCTGTCACATTCTTGGTAAGATGTACTGCTCATAATATCTAGAGAAAATAAGTCAGTGTCGTTATCGTATTATTGAATATTGGTTTAGAAAAAGAAACTGGCTGAGGGCGAACATAGTCACGGTGGTATTTTATTCGAGTACGAGTTTTGTGCGAATGTGATCGAGGTGAAAGAAACAGCAAAGTGAGTTGGTTAACGTAAATAAATATTTATTCCATATGAATAATTAGTCTGTCATCATAATCTGCTGTCTCATAATCTTCTGCAAGTTGATTGTGGAAGCAGGCTTATGGTTCACGAACCATAGAACTCAGAGCATATCTGCGGCTTGTTAATTCGAGGAAGTCTACGGTTTTACCTCTATTGTCACCTTGCTCAAATGAGTAGATGGTTTTTCAGATCTCTCATTGCTATTTTTATTCGCTTATGTGCCGTTGTTGGTGGTGTATTTGCCACTAGTCGTATGATTAACAATGTCATCCAATTGCTGCTCAGTTTCTTCAGTCGGAGCAGTCATGCTCCTTCTTCCTCATCAGTGCCTCTTCTGGAAAACTCATCTCCAACTTCTAAAGTTCCTCTTGAGTGAGTTATATGAAATTCAATGTTCGGGCTTTAACCATTCTTTTTGACTTCATTTTATAGTGCTTTGTGAGAAGTGGTATTTTCAAGCGGCTGACTGAAAACTATTTGGTGTAAGGGTTGAGCGGCTGAAAGAAAACTCAAAGTTGTCTTTGTGGGCGTATATAACTTTAGATTCGTAGACGACGCAATTTATCATTCTATTGTAGCTAAATGACCTTGGAGAGGTGAATTGCATTTTCTCCTCTGTAGCAAGTCGTAAAATACTTGTAAAATCCTGGGTTTAGCAACTGTTTTGTTTCGTTTGGGCATTTGTGCGCTGTTGTTAAGCTAGTTTTTGTTGTTATGGTTTGGTGAAAAGTTTTATCTTTTGCTGGGTTTTTTACGCCTTCCTCTGTGATCGAACGCTTTCTCCTCAATGGCGAGTGGTAACTCGTTTTGTCTTCCTTTTTGTTTTCCTCAGTCACGGGTTTCTCTTGATTGTTGTAAATACCAGAATAAATTATTTATATTGTTTTTTCGTGCTTGTCTTGCTTTTGGTTGATCCAATCGTTTCTGACGTATTGACTTGAAAGTGTACGTGCGGCTGTGTTGGAATGATATCAGTCCACGTTTCTGGAGAAAGTTTTGTCGATGGAGGTGGCTCAGTGGTGGGTTATCACTATGATATCGCTACCCTCTCACTTGGTTTTTGAGTTGCTCTCATACGTGAACTGTATTGATTTGCTACTTTTCAGAATGCAAGATTCCAGTTATGAATGCTATGAAGTCGGCAGTAGCATGGTGTGATTTCACAGATAAGGTTAGTTCCACATTCGTTTTGTCTCTCTAATTTCATACGTCCTTTGCACTTTATAGAAACCCATGATGAATGAAACAGCATATCCAATTGCTGTTACAGAACGCAGCTGTTGTTTGGAAATGAATGGTAAATGATTCTGACACCTGCAAGCTCTAGAATTCAAAGAAAAACTGAGTATGTTGTGGGAATACAATCCTCTCGGCAAGAGCAGTGTAAAGATCTAGAACGCGAAGTCGTTTATAGCTATCTGATAAGCTGCAGATTCTTTAAAGAGAGTACATGATACAATGTGCGTCCCGAAGCCACAGTCATGGCCACGATCACCGTCTTATTCGCACTTTTCCCAATACACCCCACTTCCACCAACATCAGCCTCCAATACGATCTTTCCCTACTACGACCGCCACCCTATCTATCCTGGTCCTTTATATAGCTAAAGCAATTGGTTCTGGGACCAGTCGACACACTCCCTAATTCCGCCCACTTTCCTTCAAAACGGCCGTCGGGGGAGAAAGGGGGAGGTGATAAAGATGTTTGCTGGAGCGGAGAATCGTTTAAATTTCCCTATTTGGCGCTTCTTCTGATAAATTTTCACCAAATTTATCAAAAACTCCCCGAAATCATCAAAAACTCCACAAAGCGAGCCTCCGTTTCCACAGCTATGAGCCTATCAACTTCTACAATTGCGACCTACCATTCGCAACATGGTTACCCTTGCTCAGGCTACCTTCTAAACGCAAGTACGACCCCCTCATTCTAATGTTGCGAACCAACGGACCCTACGTTTGCGCGGGACTAACGCTACGGCGAATTAGAAGTTCGAATGAGCGAATGAATCCTGGTCATCAGCGAGAGCTATGTATAGTGTTACTTATTTAATATCGTAACGTTCTGCGCTGTTATGTATTAGGATTATATAATCAAAAGCTCGAGTTTCACATTTTTGAATGTTCAAGATTTAAGGTGTGGGGAAGAACTAAGACGCTATGAGTAGGCGCAAATTATGCATTGACCGGTTTTATTCTTACCTTTGTCACGTTCCACGTGAAGGAAGTGTCCACGTGACTGAGCCTGTCTTTTGACACTGGATTTGAAAGTATGAGAAGTCTCTCTTCCTAATTGGATAGGAAGAACGACAGCATATGTTTCGTCGGTTTTCTCATTATGTGGTGACTCCTTCTTGTCACGTCGCTTATCGGTCCTACTGTACGCTGCGAAATACGAAACATCTTGACAAGAATGGCAGCGAAAATAATGTCAACACAGTGTTTTTTAAGGCCCCATCGTTCATATTGCATCTCTAGTGTCGACGCTATGCTATTCTACAGTTCTCTGTCATTTCAGAGAAAGGAAAGAGAGCGATGAAGGCCAATTATCTACCCACCTGTTGATCTAAAGAGTCAACCGTTGTTGCTACGTGACTACTAGTCTATCTTCGGCAATTTACTGTTCTCTTCGGCACTGTGACATTTGGCGACCAAAAGCAAACATAGTTGCTCAGTGTTGTAACTGTGACCTCTTCATTTGGTGATGATTTCGTTATCTAATCAACGACTCCAGTATACTTGTAGCCTTACGGTCACTCGTTTCATAGTTTCTCGTCCTGTTTCTTCTCAGAATGTTCGTGGTCAAATGCAAATATTCCCAATTAAAGCATAATTTTTCATTGAAGCAAGCTTTTGTTCTGTTTTGGTGGTTGAATACGTGAATACTGCAAGTTGTTGTCGAAAACCGTCTTTTTATTTTCTCAATATCTTCTTTCCAGGAGCATGGGTGGACAGGAGTTTTCGTGAGTATTATTTGATCCTGAAATAGAGACCTTTTATTGTGTGCCGTTCATTTTTAGTACTCTAGATATGTACCGAAGATTCTGAATGGCGGGTTGGCCGGAATAGTTGGGGTGACCTGTGTGTTTCCAATTGACCTCGTCAAAACTCGGCTTCAAAACCAACCGATCCTACCCGACGGACAGGTACAGTACAAAGGAATGTGAGTATCAGGCTTTTCAAGAAGGTCCCTGTTGTGCAGGTCCAGGTCGCTCTCTGATATTTTGTTTTTTCTTCAATTTTTTTATACAAAGTTGGATGAATTTCAGTGTTGACTGTGCAAAGCAAACGTGGAAATCTGGTGGAGCTTCTATTTTTTCGAAGGTTCGATTTTCAGACTTTCCTCATTGTATAGATATCCCTATTGTTGTGTATTGTTGTGACTGACAAGCTAAATGATTTTTTAGTCTAAGGAAGGTGGTTGTCCTCAAATTGTAATCTTTTCCCTCCCATAGTCTCAGCAGTAGGTCTTGGGATCGGAGCATGAATATGAAACGTGAATCTTATAACAAAATTTGAAATTGGGGTCTACTTCCAGTTAGGGGGGCATCATGATGCAACTAGTGTGAACTCGAACATTCCAGCTTTTCACGCATGTCAAGTGACTGCCCTCACCCCCACCCCCGTAGACTGGCTACACTCCCCCTGGCTCGGAGTTACCCTAGCTTTCTGGAAAAACTGCATCATGATGCCCCTAACTGGAATAGACCCCAAAAATGATCCAATAACATGAGTCTTAGCAGATAGATCAGATCACTAATTGCAAATGTCTCATCACTCTCTTCCATTTTGTGCTGATTTTCATCTGTATAGGTCCGTGCCTTGTACTCTGGATCAGCAGTCAATATAGTTCTGATAACTCCTGAGAAAGCCATTAAATTAGTGGCCAATGATTTTTTCCGATATCATCTGTCTGTCCCTGGAGAAAAGTAAGTTCCTTCCTACCTTCACAATTTAATTATTATCAGTGAGTACTTATCATTTTGTAGAAAGTTATCAGCATGGCGAGGAATGATTGCGGGAGGAGGAGCTGGCATGTTCCAAATAATAGTGACCACTCCTATGGAGCTACTAAAAATACAGATGCAAGACCAAGGGCGGACTGCAGGTCACAGCGTTCATCGTTATGCATTTTATTCGTTTCTTCTTGATACTTTGAAGGTATGGTCCGGTTTACTTTTGTCCCATACGAAACTTGTGTCGCTTGAATTTGTGCTACCTTAATGGATACATTTGTCAAGCTCGTGAGTTCAGACGCTTTCCATGGCTTTATCAAGATTCATATCCAGTTGTGCTGGCTGAATTCATTAGTTATGGGTTACTTTATGCGGGAGAGAAGAGTGCTCATTCCATGATAATACTTTCTTATCATTTTCTCCCGGCTGTTTTAGCGCGTCTGCTGATAAATTCGTGAAGCTATAATCAAACTATTGATAAGCTTTCAATTTTTATTAACACCCGGCTTTGATTCACTCTTTCACTCTTTGTGCGTTTTCTTCAGTTGTTTGACTTTATTAGTTATGGAATCCTTTTCAGTGCCTGGTCAAAAGAAACTGACAGCAATCGAGCTCACCACTAATCTTCTGAAGGAGAAAGGCATAGCCGGGTTGTATAAGTGAGTATGTGGACGGTGATGTAGAAGCACAACCCTTTAATTGCACTTGCGTTTTCCAGAGGATTAGGATCAACGTTTGCAAGAGACGTTACATTCTCTATGATTTATTTTCCCCTATTTGCCTACCTTGACTCACTGGTAAGACGACGATGTAGCGGAAAGCGTTAAATAGTTGTTGAAACTGACAATGAGATCGCCGCGAAAACCTCATCACTTCAGGGGCCACGCAAAAGCGATGGAAGCGGTGATGCCGTTTTTTGGACCTCGTTCGTCGCTGGTCTTGCAGCCGGAGCTTCAGCATCGTTTGCGGTAACTCCATTGGACGGTATGCTCTTGGTTTCCTTGTTTCGAAAATATCGCTCCTACAGCGAAAAACGCTTCGCGCGTTTCACCACAACAGAAAAGTCGCTTTCTCTCCTAGTGAACCACACCTGGGCCCTCATAGGGGAGGGGGGGGGGCGGTGGGCATGAGAGAATCTGCGCAAACACTCCACAGATATAGCTTCAGGCGACTCTTGATGAAATGACGTATTCGAAAGGCTGTGTGGAGTTGCAATGGGGCCTAACATTTGATTGCAGGCAAGCACTGAAAATCAAGGGCGGCAACAAAAACCCTCCGTAACTCCTTTCAGAGAAGAGTTCAGCAGATAGTGAAAGCAGATTTGAGTTCAGCGTCTCATGTGCGTACAGAAATGTGCACCTCATTTCATTTGGTCTGGTTAACCTTATGGCCTCTGCGCAATTATTGAAATTTCAAGTGATATCTCTTCATGTTTGTTTACAGTGATCAAAACACGAATGCAGACGATCAAGAAAGGAGCGCACGAAATAAAATACAAAAACATAGGAGACGCATTCGTGTGAGTTTTTGTGAAAGATTCGTGTATTCGTTTCTGTTTTCCGAAGTTCAGTTTCTAATGAGAGTGTAGAAGCATATTAAAAAATGAACTTGTTACCCTTTGTATCCGGCGGCCAGGTGCATGTTCGCTACAGACCTCACAAAACAGGAAATGGCCGTCTACAAAAAATGTAAAAAATTCTGCCCATGAAATGATTAGCCTGTTGCAGCTGTGAGTTATCTATTATCACCAGTTACAATTATCTTACAATTATCATTCACCAACTACCCTTAAAATAATAATATTATCAGACTGAGACGCCGTCGTCACTTGTGTTGGTCAGTCTGTAAGCAGAGTCAACCCTGCGTTGCGCAGTTCTCAACGGCCACGTTGCGCAGTTTCGCCCGATTAGACACGTTCTCTCGCGCGAACATTCACACTCGCATGCTCGAGCCGTCTGCGTCTCCGCCCATACAGCGTGCGTTGAGGATCTCTCAACGTGCCGTTGCGAACTGCGCAACGCAGGGTTGACTCTGTCTGTAAGGCAGAATTTCCTGGCTGCCGGGTGCAAAGGATATGTTCGCTTCCATCGGGGACAGAACTTGAAGTCATTGAACCGTTTGGCAGTGTAGCCAATTACGCAAAACATGTTCTCTATTTTCTATATGTTCTGCATATGTATAACATTCTTCGAGTCTACGTGCCCTCCTGTTAATTGCATATGATATGCTAGATTATTGTGGCCAACTTTAAGATTCATTTTGCAGTAAAATTCTCCAAATGGAAGGACCACGAGCACTTTTCAAGGGTGCTGCGTGCCGTATGATGGTGATGGCTCCACTTTTCGGAATTGCTCAGACGGTGTACTATGTTGGAGTTGCAGAAAAGATCCTGGGCGTAGAGAAAATGACCCATGTCTGAAACGTTCAAGATTCGTTTAGGCCCTTAATTTGTAGTATTAGATATTTCATTGTTTGATTACCTACTCAAATGCTGCCCAAATGCTGGTCTTCGTTCTAGGTTGCCCAATTTCACAATAATAGGTTGTTAGCCTCAGTACTAGCATATCTACTGGTTGAATACTTGTAGTGTTTTCGGTAAAGTAATTCTAGACTACTAATTGTAAATACTAGAGTAAATACTAGACTGTAGGTGTCTACCTCCTAAAGCGGCATTAGCGGTATTATTGTTCTGTGGTTTGCGGCATAGATGTTTTATTTGTTCTGTTCAGGTTTTAGCACGTTCTTGTATTGATGCACTACGAGGTAGCAGAACTGACTAATGAACTCAGAAAACCTCTTGTAGCACAAATAAAAATGACAGATGTGAAGTGGCTGCTGTTTAGTGTATGAGATGTCAGACTTTGCGAATCGCGCGATTCGCTAGCGTCTGCGGTCGCGTCGCGGCCAGTGAATCACTCAATTGGCTGGTACCGCAACGCGACCGCGGACGCTAGCGAATCGCGCGATTCGCAAAGTCTGACATCGGCTTATTTCTTGTCAAGAACAATACTAGCAGTGAATGGTGAAAATGCTCAATATAAGGGCGCTTTACGAAGTGTTATTCCTACCCATGAAGCGAAACATCTTGGTACAAGTACATTGCCTCGCAGATGTACCTCCTTTAGGCGATAAAACCTCGTCTAAACGCCTGTTTCTTTGAATTCAGCTCTTTCTGAGCACGTTCTGTTTTGTCAAGTCGTCCTTTGTTGCAAGATTCATTCATTCTGGTCTCAATTATCGCTCGAAGTGATTCGTGCACCTTGAAGAGTCTGTTGGAAGGCTTGAAGCTCCTGCTATACTACTAGAATTGACCAGTGTACCCTTTAGTTCACCACCTACCGATTAGGGCTTTCGAGTCAATCACTGGAGTTGCACCCCAAAATTCACCCATCCCACCACATTTCCGTTTAAATTCCGATGAATTCCTTTTACACTTCGGTGGGGTATCCTCAGCTTCTCTATGTCTCATCCTTCTCATTGATTTCTGGTTTCGAAGTGGGATTATGACAGTGAACAGCTCCCGAGGATCATTGACATTATTACTGAACATTATTACTGACAGATTATTCTATTTTTTCACCTGGAATCACATGAAACATTAAGCCGTTTCTTTTAACATAGTAAAGAGTTTTTCCAGTTGTTCCTTGAATCTATCACATCAAATTGAGCAAGGCATCCAAGCAGAAGCAGGACGGACCAAATATGCTGTTGAGCATGAATCTCAGTTCTCTACAGAATTTTTTTTGCTTGGAAGCCTTAGGTTATCTTACAAGAATTTCGTTATCGACACAGTCACCGCTGCTCACGATAGTAAATAGTCATGTGCATGTTTAGTGCACTAAGTTTTGTTGTACCAGATTTGAGAGAGCTCATCCATGCAATATTATCGAGCTGAGACTCCTTTCCGATCAGCATTTCTCTACGGCTGTGCGGCTAGGGATAGGGATCAAGGTCGATTCATCCCAAACTTGGCGTGAGAGTTTGAAAGGAATTTTTAATTGGACCGTCTCCAAGATTATAACCTTTCATTTCTGTTCCGGTTACTGTAGTACCTAGAACAAGCACGCATAGAGGCGCGTGTGCTTGCCGGTCAGGTCCGTGGCTATTCGCGGACCATTAATTTCGTGACGCGACAACCGTTGTTCTAGCGGGTCAGCCGCCTTCCGCATCGCCTCATTGATGATTTACGACAGCACAATTTGTCATTCTCTATGAACTGCGACACCAAACACAACAAACCACTAGAAACCTGTCCGAACCTTCGTAAGATGGACTGGTCATACTAAGACCATTATTACTTGTAAAACTGTATGTTTTACTAAATGGATGCTTCAGCGACGGCAATGCACTTAGGAGGAATTTGACGACTTCTGCAAGACCAATGGTTGTTCTTCGACTCATTCGACAACGAAGAGCTTTTTAGTAGATACATTCTTGGTTGTATCTATGCAAAAACTACGGTAGCCTTCGGTAGTCAGGCCGGAGTCGGACTTGTGAATCCAGCGAATCGCGGGGTACAAGCAAGGCGCCAGCGATTCGAGCGATGCGCTAGCGGCTCAAGAGTTTGAGAAAGTAACGACAAGTGTCAGCGTACTGACGAGAGGGCTTAGAAACTTTCTCACACTCTCAAATCGCTGGTGCACCCTTCGAACCGCAATGTCTGACACCGTCCTCAGGAGACATTGCTTTCCAACTGCACATATGTATTGAAATTTCCGCACTACCTTCTCTATCATCTGCCACAATAACAAACGGTGCAGAAAAAAAAATCACGATTCACTGTTGACAGTTGAAAAGTGAGGTGCATGAGGTGTAAATCAAACTCACTTGGTTGAGCACCAAGATCAGGCGCTGTTTGAATTTGTAAAGGTTTAAAGACCACTGGCAGAGCCGTAGGGGGTCGAGGTTTCAGGTTAGCCTGCCTTGGTTACTTCATTACCCGCTTGCCCCTTCATATTGCATATACAAAGCATGCCCAAAATATGGTTGTACCAGCAAAAAAAAACACCTCTCAATTTTCCCGGAACAAAAAAATCAAATGTAAATGTATGTTTATCTTTCGACATTTGTGAACGCATAGCTATGTCACAATGTACGATTCCGTGACACCTTGCTGCTAGAAACATAAGCTCGTTGCTAGAAAATTGTGATTACTCGAGAGCCCACTAATTAAATGTACAGTAATTGACGTTGGCCCTCTGGACTGTAGGGTAGCGATAAAATGGTGTATGCAAAGCCACAACCCTAGTGACCGTAATCGGATCCGGTGTCGGTGTCGATGTGCGGTCACTGTAACCGTGTTTGCTGTCCACATCTTCGGGCTAATTAAGTGCCCCACCAAAGGCTCTCCATGTTCGCGTTGTGTCAACCGTAGGAAAGCGATTCCGTAACTTGCGATGATCCGGAGGACGCCTACGAATTGGCAGACATTCCTGAAACTGGAAAAGCAAGGACATGAGCTTGTTGCATCGTTCAAGAATCTTGTGCCAGCCGGCTAACAATAGTTGTATTACGATCACTCCTGGTAATGAATCAAAGGTGGCGTACTGGAATTATAATAAGTAAAGCTGCCATTACTTAGGCTATCCCCGACGACCCTGGCATGCCACTGCTACTGATGTTTTCCATCAAAAGGTGAGCAGCTTGATATTCCTCTTCGCTGGAATATCAGAGATTGAATTTTGCCTGTAGTTCCGATAAGGCGCAAAATATAGTAGTAGATATTGTTGTCCTGCTTTTCCATATCACCATTAGCTCTAATCTAGGTCCTATAAAGCTTGCAACAACTATTGAAACTCAGTGAAATGTGCAGGAATGTGTGACCTGGTCACTTTCAGCGATACCGTAGCCCACTTCATACATTGTAGGCTCAATGCTACTGCAATGAAGCAACAAAGGGATAAATCATAACAAATATGCGCGAAATGAAAATTATTACAGTTTATTTGGCATAGTTTATTGTTTGGCAGCCCTATATACTGATGGTATGGCCGAGTGGTTGAGATTGTAGACTCATGTCCTCAGGAAAGCTGCGAGTTCGATCCCTGCTGAGGCTCCATGCCCTTGCAAAAATTGCAAAAATGGTTCTAGTACCAGCGTCAGGCCCAGGTTGACAGGCCGGCTGATGAAGACCTCAAACGCACCACTTTGTCCAAAAGCTGCTTTTTTCAGCGGACTCTGTGACTGCGCGGGACTAACGCTGGGGAGGAGACGAAGAAGATATTATATTTTAATGGCATTTCAATATTTATTTAATATTTCATTACTTATTTTATTTTTATATTCCCTCACCATATTGCAAGAATAAGGCTTTGCTTAATTTCTAAAGCTTACTTTTTCCCGTTTCATCCTATAGTTGCTGCTATTGGAGGCTGAGCCCACTGTTCAGTAGTATGAGTTGTGCTTTCCGTATGCCACTGGTGACACTCAGCGCATATGTTCTGACAATTAATAACCTGTACTCTCAACAGCGTTGAATTGTCACACGATATTACGGTCCTTAATAAATGAAGCGCGCTTGTTGGTAGACTGACAAAGGATGACAAATCTCTCATAAAGACGGCATTGTGCCGAGGAAGAACTGAAAGTGCAGAGCGCCATGCTGCCTTTTTGATTGCATCGAGGTTCGCCTGCCATTCAAAAGAGTCTTGAGTTATAGTTTCGAAATTCCTATTGTAAATGGGAAGCAAAGGTCGACATTTCCTCCAGAAAATCCTACAAGGTCGGTATGATAACCTCTCAACCCCTAGTGAAAAATCTATGTACAAAAAATTGTAGGAGTTGCTAAAAAATTATTATTAATCATCATAGAACCTAACTGAAAATATCATTCAATCAACACTAAGTTTAAATAATAATTTATTACATAACAGGGGTATAGTGTGGTATTTGATGTAATGGTAACCAACTACTAACACTGATAGCAATAGAGCTGTTAATTGGTAAGTCATTTCGTGAGTACTGAATTCCATAGAGTTACCATCTGACATTATTGCGCAGCCCAATTAAATGTTTCCATCAGTACGGTAGAACATGCTGGTTATCCTGAATATTTGTTGTGTCCGAGTAAGGTCATCCGACCAGTGAGGCCATTTCACTGGAGTTCTCCGCGCAGCTGCTAATTTAGGCTTGGGATCATGGACTATTTGGCCGCATTTCACTATGTGAGAGCTATCATTAAAACTACAAATATTTATGATATTTATGCAATTTATCACATTCTTGTGACAAATATAGTCGTGTTGGAGCTTCTACACAACGGGATCGGCCCCTTATTTCTCTTCGAGGTCTACTGTAGGCAAAACTTTCACCCCAGCCGAGATTCGTACCCAAATCTCTTTGTTTCCGCTTACACGTGTGAATGCTCTTAAGCTATTATATAACTTCATCATCGAAGCTGTGGAGGAGTAAAAAGGTGGC